ACGACCGGATCAAGTGGGTCCTGGCCGGCGATGACCCCTCCCGTTCCGACTGCACCTTACTTCACCTTTCCTGAGGTACCTCAAGGCAGGTTCACGTCCTTTACTCCCCATTGCACCTTGCCTGACATCACTGCGGCACCGTCGCAATCATTCTGGCGCCTACTCTTGCGAGGTAAGCAAGGTAAGGTAGCTACTAACCAAGGGGTCTTAAACTCGTCCAGCACATGGCCCCAAGTAAAATCTACCCAGTAACTACCTGCCTACCACGCTTTATCGACTTCACTCACATCGTTTCCTTCTTCAATAATAGTGGAGGATCTCGAACCTGCACGCCCGAGCAACTGACATATTGATGCTGCGGCAATACTGCTCGGCACAGCAATAGCCATCCTACCTCAATTGATTGCAAATCACTGCGCCCGTTGCTGTGGTGCTATGTTTTGTTTTGCCTGATGCTCTGAACTGTGACTATCGTGACGCCGGACCCTGCCCTTGACATCGCCATCGCATTCGCTCTGCCGTCGCTCGTTTTGGCTTTTTGGCTTTTTTGGTTGTTTGACTACTCGACTTTCGTTTCTCGCATCCTCCAGACCCTCTCTAGCCATGGCTCTCACTACGCGACGCAAGATTGAGGCTAACGCCGATGTGTCCTACTATCTGACCCAGATTCGAATGGCCCATGATATCCACGCAGCGCAACAGATCGGACCGGATGGCATTCCCGGGCTATGGACGACGCTTCACAGGAACCACTATGCCCATGCCTGGCGGATACATGTCGCGCAGTCTCAGCAACCGGGATGGCTTCCCCCTACAGCGACTTCAACTGACGATCCTCGCGATTTCGTCGCATTCCTCCGAGCCCAGCTCCGACATGATGAGCTAGCCTTTGCGCTGTTTGTGGTTTTCCAGGCCCAGAGGACTAGGATGCGGGATAATGTCGGCGTTGAAGTTAAAAGACGTTATAATGCTCTGAAAGGCAACGTGGGATCTTTTACTGAAGACGACCTTATGTTCGAGCTCGGCCTTCAAGTCCTGACCAGCACCCCATCCCTGCGTCTGCTCAACAGCCTCCTCAACCCGCGCAACGACGCCTCCATCCGCATCCAGCCCGCAGTTCTCTTCCAAGCCATTCGACAAGAGATGCTGCAACGCCATCAGGACGCAACGACTCCGCCATCACCAATCCCTGCCGACGTCACTAAAGCCGCTGATCGTAAGTACCTAATCCTACATCTACTCGCAATATTACCTGTGTCATAGCGCAATACACCTCCAATGCGCTATTTTCTTAATAGCTCTGAATTGATTTCAAGACACTATACTAATCAGTTAATTACTATTGTAGGACTCCGCCCTCAACGTCTTTCGAGCTCCAACACGCCCACACCAGCACCGCCAGCCGGCCTCGCCCCTCACATCCCCCAAGTCCAAGCCCAAGCCGCTCAGGCCCCCGAAGTCCAACTGGGAACCGACGGCGAGCTGCAAGACCAAGCCGAGCCCAAGCTGGAAACCGACCCCGAGCCGCAAGTCGAAGCCCAAGTCCAAGTCCCAGTCCCAGCCCAAGCCCCTGAAGACGGCCCCGGCGAAGAAGGAGAGGAGCAGCAAGAACTGGGATGGCTCCCTCCCCCGTCCTCCCCCGACGACAGCTCCCTCCACCACCAGCGAGGCCGCAAGAGGCAGACCTCCCCCAACCCCCTGCCGGCATCCAAGCGCCTCCGCCATGACCAAGCCGAGGAGGACGAGGAGGAGACCCCCGAGACTGGCCGCGACGCCCCGGAGGCTGCACCAAGCTTGTCTCTCGGCGACGAGCTCGACATCCCATCTCCTCGGCAGGATGCCCCCAGGCCCTCCATCCCCAATTTCACGCCCCTGGCGGACACCCCCCCTCCCCAGACCCCCTCAAGACGCCAACCAGCCCAGCCGAATGCGTCGAGCTCCCCCACAGACTTCCAGACTCCGCCGCAGGCCCCCCTGGCCATTCCATCTGAGGCCCGCCCGGTGTTGAGCAACGAGCTTGAACGATGGTGTGAGATCGTCCGCCTGGCTGAGGATATGCCGGCACCACAGGGATCCAGACTATGGGTTGAGAGTGTCCGCACCGCCGTCCAAGCCCTCCGGACAGTCGGCATCTGGGCTGATGAGATGCTGGATGAGGAAGCTTTGCGCGACGATACCCTCTAATCCGACTATCACTACCTACACCACTTCGGTTTCGCCTGGGACGCTTTACACCCTATTTAAATTCTCTTCACCCGTCCCATTATTTTATATTTTGGTGACGGCCTCTGCGCCGATTCAATCACAGAGAAGAAGAAGAAGAAGAATAAAGTAATACAGATGAGGGCGAAGGAAAGGATCAACTACTCCCTAATACAGTATCAACGATCTTCCCTCCCTCACTATCACGTTTGTTTCATTTCTGTTGCTTTGTTCCATGCTATGATTACTGATAGCTGACATATTATCCAGTCGCAGCATTCTTATGCAATCTCATCCCCGGACATCGTCATCGCAGTGTCCCGGCCACAGATTGCCACTCATCTATTCCAGCTTCCATCAAAACATGACTTGGTACTTGCTGCGATGAATCGGCCGGAATCCTGTTTCCACCAGACGCAGTCTGGGCTCACTGCCGAGCAGATGCAATTCATCATGGCCAATAATAGTATTTGAGTCCGAGATGAGCAATCCGCCTCAAATCCTCCCTGGCAGTAGCTAGGATGGACTGTTCATGTGCTAACAAATGGCTAGGGACAATCACTGTGAACGCCACGGGCTGAGTATGTGCACACAGCTAAAAGGTGAAATTTAGGATTAGGCATATACTCTGTGGCCATTTCAGGCTGTCTTTGATGGCATACTACATTATTTCAGGCTGATCTACCACCTTGTCTAAAGCGACCAGTAGTTTATTTGACATGATAACATCTATGTGCATGGATACAGTTTTCTATTCCGCGACCTCCATGCAGAGACAAACCTTTCCAGCCGTCTCCGTGGCGAATAGACTTGTACATCTGAATTCTCAGGGCGTCTGTCAGCAGAATAGGAGCGAGAGGGTGCCTAGCATTGCGAATCTCAAATTCTCTTCTCACCTCCAAGTTTGACCAGTGTCCAGAAGTGGTCAACCCCAACCTGCTGGCACCCAAAGAGCTGTCCAAGTCAACGTGCTCTGGGGTAGCGCAGTGGTTCCACGTAAGGGTCCGATTCATTGCTATTCAGCTCTTACAGTTCCGGAGTGTTCCTTGTCCTATCCGCATGGGTATGTCAACAACTTCAAGATAACGACCACAAGGCTGGTTGTTAGCAGATATCGACTAAAAAACGCCTCGAAAGACGCGCTATCTGTTGTTGAAATAGAACGACCGTTAGTCGTCTGAATAGAGGAGCTTCAAACTGCCCAGCACCAGCAAAGTGGGCATACTTTTCAAGATGGGCAGCACCTTGCGGGTAATACGAGTATGGCGCACGTTTGCAGTGGAAAAAGACTGACTCTGACTCGGAATGGTCCATCCGAAGCATTACCCTCACAAGTCGGTTGGATTTCTCCAAAAGAGCTTCCAGCCATATCAAATCCGGTTCTTATGCATGCGTTTGGCCTCTCTCGACATCCGAGCACCTACATCGGAATAATAAAGCATGTTGATGCGCTGCAGACTATTCGGATAGGCCTCCCTCAGCATATCTGTGTACAGCGTGTTTCCGTGATGAACTTCTGTATTTTCTTGTTATACTGAGACAGATGACTTTTACCGGCAGTACCTTCATGGCCTTTCAAGCTTTCTCGAGGCTTTCAGCGGGCATCTCTGAAGCAGCAGCTGTATAGGCATATACGGGGAGAAGGAAGCGCATCCTTCCAAGGCGCTGGACTGATGGAGGTGCATATATTTTTGCTGGCCCGCCGAGAAGGTTCCTAATAGGTAGTGTCGTAGAAGGCCAGAGGATTATGGCCAAGGGGGGATAAACAATGCAGATGTATTTTGCTGCAGGCCGTCCGTCTTGATATGTCGGGAAACTCCCAGCGGACTCACGTTGCAGAGGTAGATAGCGCACACAACCAGGCACGTTTGCGTACTTACAGAGGCAATAAGAAAACGGCTCCTGGAGCGATGTGAGCAACAACTTGCCAGGCTCAGGCATGTGCTAGTTTCTCAACTCGTCCCTCTCCCGCAGCATCCTCGCCCCATGCACACCAGAACACCAGCGACCCAGCCCAAGGTCTATCAAGTTCAAAGTCTCCCATCAAGGATTGCCCCAGAGACACAGTACTCAGCCAAAGGCGAGCTGCGATATCGGCCCTTGCGGTCATCTACAAGCATGGCTCGCACGTCTCGGTTCCAGATTCATGTAACCCACGCAAAGTATGCAGCTCGCACGTGCACCTGAAGTGCCTGCCGTCTAACGGCAACCGCAGTAGCTCTCGGCATATTCAGCATTGAAAAGGCCACGCTGCAATCTTTCCGGGTGGTTCTGTGCCTGCACGCGGCCATGATGCTCGCCATGGAAATGGATGATGCCTTGACAAGCGACTGAATATTGAAAGCCATGCGGATTGCGTTCGGAAAAGGCGGTGCTCGGATGGGTCCGCAGTCGGGCAGCGCTCTGCTGCTTCCTGTTCTAGCCTCTGGCTTTCCACTGATTGGCTGGATTCACGGTGTGGGGAGGGTTCGGTCCACTTTTGTGGCTCCAGCCAATGGAAGCCACCTCAGGTGACAGACATTTCCAGCACTCACTCTGGAAGCAAGAGGAGGCACCTCCAGGTCTTGTTCTTTCCTGTAGATGACACTACCCAAGGCAAGGCAGGTGGGGTGATTCGTGATGACGTGGAATCGCCCAAAATCTGGGTCGATTCAGAGGCAGGGCAACCGAAACTTCCATCTCGCATCCTTCCAACCGCCACGACCCTTATCCTCGCAGCACCTCGCGCATCGCCGGTGTCTCTTTGGTAACCCCGCCGTCTTCCTTATCATGTTCTCTCGTTGATCTACCTTGGTAATATGCCGTTGCTTGACACACTCGAGGCCTTGAACGGTCTAATCAACCCTGCTGCAAACGGCACTATCGCCTCCCTGTGGCGCCGGCTTGAAGTCGACTTTCTCGCTAAACGCGACCAAGTCATTAACGCCCAAAAGACCAACAAGACCAAAACACCCACTTTTGGCTTTCAAAACTGGGCTTTGACCCACGTCCACCCCAAGGTCTTGGTCTGGGCCACCGACGATTGTTACATTGACGGCAACGCATCCCTATCAGACGACATTCTCAGACGCTGGAAGTCCACCCTGGCCCATCTGAGCACCTCACTTGGCGTGATTGCCTTTTTGTTCGGCATCACTATTGTCGGTTCTCGCACCTGCTGTGACGCTCTGCGCAGCCTCTGTCGTGCGATTCCAAGACTCACGTTAAACGACATCTTCGCTCGATTTGTTGATCGGCTACAGAACGAGAAGAGAGCCCACGGACGAACACCAGAATTCCTTTTTAAACAAGTCATACAGGCCTGTACGCATCTCCATCTCCGCATGCTCCTTCTCAGCCATTAACCTGCTCCTGATACTCCAGATTCGTTGAACGACTCAGAGCTGCCCAATCACGCGCAGACTCGCAGACACGTACGAGAGTCCTCGACTATTCGACCACGACCAATGGCGGCCCCACACAAGGCTGATAGGGGTGACGATACTCAGGGGGAAGGTGTTGAAGTTTCTGAGAATGCTACGAGACCGCACCAACGCACCTCGGAATCCCCAGAACGGGCGCGTGGAGAGTACCAGCAAGATGCCGAAGCCGAAGACGCGAGTCGCACCGACCACGAAGACGTACAATCAGACATGGGCTACGTGTCTTCTAATGCTGATACTGGCTACGAAGTACGACCCTTTTCTCCGCTGCGCAATGCTCTGGTAGGCTCGACGGTTCACGGGTACGATTCTGAAGTTGCATCAGGACACGATGATGCGTCACCAAGCCACGACGATGGAAACTTCTACTTTGCAAATCAGGACTTAAGCGAAGACGACGACATTGGGCATATCGCAAATGCCTCGGAGGAGTCCACTAATGTCTCCGATAGCCGCCTGATACCACTGCATTCGAACAGGACAGACCAAACCGAAATACTGTCACCCCAAGGACCGCCCAAGCTACCAACAATCAAAGAGGAGTCTCCATCACACTACGAGATGGCAAGAAATGTACTCGTCACCCGGGGTGGTTTTCCTGAGAGAAAAAGATCCCTCAGCATGACAGAATTCCTGGAGGCATCTAACAGCAAAGACATCCCCACACCGCCGCCAAAACGACTACAGTGCACAGTGCTTCAAGGTCCCAAGCCCACGCCCTTCACCGAGAGGCCTCCAACAATGATTGTTACGGTCAACGAGATCCTAAGCAGCATGGGTCGTCTGAAACCTGGGCATTTTCTAAACGACTTTATCATCAACGCGATGGCACATCGCCTGGAGTCAGAGGAGGTAGGCATTGTTGACAGTCTCACGATCGCCAGCAAAACCCGCACACCCAGGTTCAGAGCGAAAATTCAAAACACAATGTCCCGAAACCGGGTCTTGATTTTTGTCAATCATGAGCTTCACTGGCTGCTTTATATGTGGACAGGCGCTGGTGGGCTTCTTCAAGAGTACAACTCGATGCCCGACCCTGAAGGGAAGTTTGCCAGCTGCTGTGCGACAGTAACCGACTTTGTGAGATGGGCGTATGGCAACCCGGCCATGGCCGTAAACCTAGAAATGCCTGCGGTATGTCATACCTTAGTTGGAGCCTCAAACTTTCATGTCGGATTGCTGACTACAGTTCCCACAGTGTGCCGAGCAACAAAACGGGTGGGATTATGGGGTCTACGCCATACGGTTTGCTGAGTGCCTTGCCACCGGGCAAGCCGTTCCGGATGCCATCGATGGGATGCTGGAAAGGAAATGTCTCATGAATGCCTTACTGGCCACATGGGCTGGCACGCTGCATTCTGAGGAGATTTCTGCCATCAGATGCCCTCTTACGGCGACTCCCGCCGACAAACTCCGGCAATTCAAGAACTACTACCGGCGGAAGCGCAGCTTTCACCAGCTTCTCTGCGCCAGCAGCTCTGAGTATGCCACGTCTCCTACATTTACCACAGACTTGCGTCGAATGGCTGCGTCTGAAGATGACGCCATCCAAAAGTCGGCCTTGGCTAGTTTGATCGACTCTGTCCACATGGTCCACCTGACGTCTCTCAAATCAGCACTGAGTGCTGCAACTGAGGCCACCACACTTCTCGAGACCAGTCGGCAATGGAATACCGTAAAGAATAAAATGGACGATCTCTTTGCCTCCCTCGCAGACCTGGTTCCCGCAGGCGACTTAGCTGCGTTGCCGGCGCCGGACCAGAGCCGATATAGGAACATTGAGATTATCAAGAACGCTGGCCAGAACCTTGAAGATAATTGGAACCAATGTCGAGGAAGCGGGCAGTGCGTAGAAGAGGCTCGGGAGCAGGCGCGAACCCACTTCATCTTCGCAAGAGTGCAGCTATTCATTCTCCAATACGCAGTCAGGAAGTTCAGGGGGCACAAGACGGGCAATGCCTGAAGACAGCATGGTGATATATGGAACGATATACATATAGTGTGGGTCAAAATCCTATGCTGAAGGTCTGAATAGCCTAACAGCAGCAATGTATCGGGCGCATTCGGTCTTTGTATTGCTAGCCTGAGAGATACTTTTGGGAGACGTCTAGCAGAGGCATTCGATTAATTGGAGCGCGCAAAGTCGCCAAGGTGGAATACCATGTAGATCAAGAAGCTGAATATGACGTCTCCAAGCATTCAACCCAGATGTGGTCATTCGTTGTGGCGAGACGCTCCGGCGTGGCAAATATGGAGTGGCATCGCAGCGGGGGGGGATCTTGGAACCGAGGCGTGACACACGAGGCCGAGGGCCCTTGTGAAGATGCCCGGGCGCGCCATGTTTTCGGACGCGATGGCGCCAAGATCAACCACAATCGGAAGCAGACAGTCACCAGCACCCAGGTCCCGCGCCACCAAGACCGCGGCGGAGCCATTGAAACTTTGGGGAGCCGCAAGGCTGGGGAAGATGCGCGCGAGATTGGATCGTGCACAATGTCGCATACATGATCCCACAGAATCGTCTTCCTTGTCCCCATTGCTGTGCTGGGATATTATCTTCACGTGGACAAGCAGCAAGAGCGATTGGATCATGTTCTTTCGTCGTTGGTAAGGGTTTAGGTGCCATGCAAGAGTCAGGACCAGGAGACATACTCTCGCCACTTTTTGTGTTAAAAGACCCAAACACATTATTGATCCTCTCGGATCGATCCTTTCCGCACTTTCAAAGGTGAAATGACTCAAGAACCCATCCAAAACCCTCCGAGCAGCTGGAATCTTTTCTCGTCTCATGAAAAAATGAAGACATAGAAACCATTGCGACTTGTGGACAGGAGGTTTTGCGCTCCAACAAGCGGGCGAGGAAGGGCTGGGATGATATGATACCACAGGCATCTCTCCGCTCCCAAGAGCGCTAACTATTTCAATACACCATGCACGCCCTTCAGGATGGAGAGACCAATCCCAACATCAGTTTCTGCGTTTTCCCCGCGCGGGACGAAGCTCCCCTCAAGCTCTTCGTCTATTTATCTTTGCGCTCTCCTTGCATCTAATAGGTTTATCTCAACCGGAAGCTTACTTCAATGGAATTCCCTCGTGCTCAACACACCCGAACGCGAGGTTCATGTTCTGGAATCACTGGGCGGCGGCGCTCTTCGGCAGGTTGTGGGTGGTGACTGGACGTTGACGACAGCGCGCTTGCCGCTCAAGTGGACTGAGAACCTGCCAGTCTCGACACTGTGTTTACCGGCAATCTTCTTGACAAAGGGGCTTCCGCCGAAGACCTTGACGAGCCTCTCATTGTTGTAGCGGTCGTAGTAGGGCTGGTGAACGTCGCGCGAGGATATGGCGGAGGTTAGGGGCAGAGTTATGGTGTGGCGAATGCCGGCGAACCAGACGGCGACGTGGGGGACGAAGGCGACATTAGTACGGAGCTAGGCTGAGATTTCGCGCTCATGGATGGGGTCTGTGAGCGAATAGGGAATTGTCCGTCGAGTTGGCGACGTCGTTCTTTGGCGATAACTTGTTTCCCGAGTCTGAGTAGCCCAATACGCCTAACACCGTCGGATGTACGGGCTGTGGGCCTAGATGTGACACCAAAGACGCGATTACGAGCTGGACGGCGGTCGCATGGCAGCCGGGATCGTTGGTGCCGGTGGGGCTGGTGATGTTGCTGCGTTGGACGAGTTCGGGCGGGCCATGTGTTCTCGGGATTGAAGCCATCGTCGGTTGAGACGTCGATAATGACGTCCTCTTCATTGGTAGACTCATCACTCATCGACAGGCGTCGGTGTAGGGTTGAAAGCTCCGTTTGGCAGCGCCATAACCCAGCAGTCGATGTCCCTTCCCTCAGCTATTTTGCAGGTTTCGTCACGATCAAGGCTCTCATAGATGATCTCCTTCTTATATCTAGCTAGCTTCTTGCTAGGTAAGCAGTTCATGCGAAGACGCATGGCATAGGCCTATGTTGGAAATGGCAGCTCAGCAGGTTGATCAAGGCCTGGCCGTTACAGCCACGTACACCAATCAAAGCCACCTCGGCGGATACTCCTTCTCATGGGCGCATGTCTGCTCGAAAACTCTCAGATGCGCACGCTTCCTGGGGAAGGTGATCGTGGTCAATGAGCTGGTCTGTTGCAATTGAGGCTGTCTCTTACTGGCCAGGATCGGATTGCCCTCCAGCAGTCGCTTTTTGGTGCAACTGCAACTTCAAATTGGTCTCGCCGAACATCTATCGGCCGTGTTGGACAAATTCAGGCATGAACTAGCGGAACTCCTCCGGGCTTTCAATGCTGTACCGGAACGACACCTCGCCTTTGCGGGTAATAGAGCGGTCGGCCTTCTCACAGAACCAGGTGAGGTTGTCATCTTCTTCCCTCGCCATCCGCGAGAGCTTCAGGAGGTCGCACTTCAAATTCTGTTGTTCGCATAATTAAAAGCCACGCGGAGCGACTCAAAGTGGCTAGATAACCTAAGGATGTCTTCCTGTCGTTTGGGAACAGGACTATGGCGAGGGCTTCCAGGTTCTCATCGTATTACGCCCCGTATGGCCGGGAGTCCGGGATCTTGAGGTAGCGATCGAACACAGTGGCTGAGATGAGGCCCTCTCGCCTCTCGATTCCGCACGAGCGTCTGCAGGCAGAGACGACGCTTGCAAAAGCTTTTTGCCTCGTTGGATGAGCGTACCGACTCCAGAGCGGGTGAATGATACGTCCAGCGTGGATAATTGCCAACCTGAAGCTGCACGGGAGGTCGTCCGACAACGGCTTGATGTCCTGTCACTTGCTGCGCGTGATATGGATTATCTATGGCGTCTTCATGTATTCGTCATACTCTTCATCCAGGTTGATGGCTTTGATCAGCCTCTCCATCTCCTTGACGTACAGTCCACTCTTCTCGGATAGATAGACAATCTTAAGCGGGACGAGCAACTTAACTAGCTTGGCAGCAATGTTGTCCGCATTGACATTCACGCCTTATCCTTCGTCTCTTTTGGTCATGCTTCTTGTCAGACCACCTATGCATACAGCGGCAGATCTCGAAGTTTCGCCGATTGTTCGAAAGGCTGGTGGACGTCATTGAAGTCGATTCCGACACCTGCGCAGTGCAAAGCCGCCATGTTGCGACTCAACGTCTGCCAGCTTTCACCTTTTTCACGCCGCATCGAAGGCACACTCGTGATGAATCCCAGGAGAATGGACATGACAAAGGAAGTGCATGACAGGGTGCGGTCCAATTTTGATGTAGGCCATATTCTCGTCAATGGTCCCGGTCCTGAATGCCATATCGACAGCGGCCTGAAAGTTGACACTCTCATCCGTCGCTCTTGTTGCATGCTTTGCGGTCATTGTCTTTTTTGTCGAAAACCACGTCGCCCAGCGTACGTGGCATGACCGGGACGGCGGGTGGCTGGAACAAAGCCCCTCCCTCAGCAGCTGTATCAAAGTGGGCCAAAACAACGTCCAAGTGAAAGCATTTGCAGCCGGCGTCGCCCAAGATAGGTCCCAGTTTGGTCATATCAGCGCTTGTGTCACCCAACACAGTGTCCTTCTATGCTACTGTTGAGACATGCCACTTCAGAACTCGCTTGCGCTCGGACATCCTTAATGGACGCGCGGAAAGCCAGCATTTTGTGACTGCTAATTTTGCACTTTTCTTCGAGCATCGTCGCTCTTTTGCCGATCAAGACATTGGTGTCGGCGGCTGAAGGTCCACCAGCAACATGCAAGGTATCATTCTCACCCAAGCTGTGGTCCACTACTACATCCGGCCGCACGCCCAGTAATTCGCAGTACCTAGCAAGTCTGTAGCGGCCAGAGGTGAATTCGATTGCTACTCGATCAGGGATATCTCGGAGCCAGCCACTGCGTCGTGGTAATTATAATGATGTCGTCAAACTACAGTTGTATAGCCGAGGGATGAACCAGCGACGTCAGGAGTCTTCTTCACATACTTCAGTAATCTCTGGACATTGCTCTTGAGTGAGGCCTTGCTCTTGGTTAAGACCGTGATAGTATGTGAAGCACGAGGGTCCGTGGTCAGAGCCGCACGAGGTGGGCCTTGTTCGACTACAATGAATGAATCGTCGCCAGCCGCTGAGAAGTCATTCACGATCGCCATCCGCTTTCGATCTGGTTTCCGCTCCCGCGACTGCCTGCCAAATGGTATATGCAATTGCCGCTTGTCGGGATCCTACAGGAATTTCGGACTAGTTTCGCGGGCTAATCTCGTGTTTGATACCCACATGAATTGGGATAGCCTCCTTTTCCAGACGTCATGAGCACTTTCAGGAGCGCTTTGATTCTTGCAGCAGCCTTACTATAGCCAGCATTAGCTTTCACTGCGCCTATGTGGAGTAGTGTATTTCGACGTTTTGCAACTGGGACAAATACGTCGGCCATGTATTGAATTCTCTCTATATCTGTGTGCCGCTCTCATGAATCTCGATGAATTCCACATCTAGGGGATCGACACCCGCTGGGCGCATTATCTGCGTCGCGAACTCGGCCTTTGTGCCGGCATTATGGGGAGTGATGGACACAGCATCGGCCGATTGGTTTGTACCAGCATCGACGGCCACTCCAAGGATGTTATCATTATCAACTTCCACATCCTCGATTCGTTTCACAAAGATGCTTCTAATTCAACCGGCATGTTAGTAGCCGTCAGCCTCACCATGTCGTATCTTGTACGCATTCGGAGTTTTGTTAAAGAACGGCCGATAGAAAGGCCTGCAAATGCGTCCTAGTTGTCCAGGATATTCAGGTCTCTCACGGAAACAACATCAGTATTTTGATTCCATTAAGACGAGCACGCACCCTGTTTGAAATAATTTCCACGTAATTGCAATTCATTGCTATGGACGTCTCAAATTATTCAAGTCATAACAGCCCAGAGGCTCTGGCCATAACGCCAACTTCATGGAGACAAGGCAAGAATTACTTGCAAAGTTGCATTAGACGAGGAGCATGCTGTGTCAATACTGAAGCTCAGGCCGAATAGTTCCAAGATATAATTCATACGTCCAGGCCCACAATGCTCAACAGCCGCTGTTGAAAGTAGGTCGAGATCTGTAAACAGGATAGCTTTGGTTTGCACCCGCGTATTCGCTAATCGTTGCGAGTCAAACGAATCCCATTGGTAACGCAGCGCTTCCCAGGGCTTGTTACCTATTCTTTCACGTCCGTTCAGTCTCTCGTCGCAACACGAAAACTTCTGCTCGTCAAACTAACGCGTCCCGCAAGAACTCCAAACTCGGCAAGGGAGGGGAAAACGCACCCCTTAATTACTGTTTACCTTACGATAGTCATCGATCGCCTGTATGTAAAGGGTCTCGGCTCAGCTCCCATCCGACGAAGACTTACGATCTGCCACGTACGCAACCCTCTCGAGAGCCTCGCATGCCGTGGCCAGAGCTCGATGCTGCATAGTATCAGTCTGTTGAGCTTCTCGAGGCGACATTTTGAAGAATTTGGCGTCGAAAAGGCCGGGCTCATTCACCTATGAGAACGTCTGTTAGCCTGCCACGGTGGGCTCAACTCAATTGACTGGCGGCCACACGCAAAGCATCCCCAAGGGTTCAAATTCTTATTGATGCGTTCATCAGATGACGTGAAAATCAGCGTCAGACATATCCTCGGGAATGTGACGACGAACATCAATTCTTTCTCAAGCAGATCCTAGAACTTCTCAGTGTCTGTGGCGTTCCTGGCAAGCGACCTGCCATACCAACGACGGTAAGCTTCGACTGTCCGCTTCCTGTCGAACGTACCTGGAAGCCAACAGGGTCCTTGATCCATGAGATTATTTCATTCGTCGCAGCCTTACAACCTGGTAGGCTTGTTTCTATGGCCAGGAGTGGACAGGACCAGGTCATTGACGGTTCAGGCGGATCTGATTATCAGTACCTGACGTTTTGAGGCGCCCACATGCTTCGCATGTCGAAGGATGCTCTGGACGACAAGATTACATTTGATCCAGCATGCGAGAATCTCTTCGACGATTCTGCTGAAGTGGCTGTGACCAGTCTTTGCCTCTAAAGGAATCTCAGTGCCTGTGCTGGATAGAAGAATTCTCGGAGGCATTCGAGATGCATCTTCAGACTTTGTCTGTGTGATGATTTTGATGTGCATATCATTATACTTTTGTTTCGCATGTCATAATTCACCGAAGACGGGCGGAACAGGCGACCGTTGCAAACTCAATCCGTGTGCGAGAGAAATTTCAACCAATGGGGAGGACCTAAGATGGTCACACTGTTTTAAGAAAGCGTGGTTCGGCGCCGGGACACCTTAATGGGCGTGGATTGCATCAAGCTCTTGATAGACCTCATCGGCACTCACACCAGTTACAACGTAGGCCTAGCTGTCTACTGCTTCATCGACATTCATTGGACTCGCTTGAGGCTTCAAGTTCTTCGAAACCTCCCCCACGGTGACTCCCATTCTCTAGGTAAGGCGGATCGCCTCAAATCCCGAAATTACAAAGTTTCCCACTGTTGATGACACTGAAATGGCGGGATCGGCTAAAATCCCAATCCCGAATTCAGCGACACAGGTGTAATCAACGTCATCAGGTTCCCTGAATCCCACGTCCGCGTTCTCGAAATGCGTATAATATGGAAACGCAGTTAACCCGGTCGCTGGACAGCGGGGTTTATACCAGATGATTGTGGATTGCGCGCAGAGGAATACCGTCTACAGAAGCATCTAGCGACCCTGGTCACTCTTCAGTATGATCACTGAAACCAAAGACAGACTCAATAGGGGGCACCAGATCTCGCAGAGAAGAGGGCAATTCCGGTAACTCCCACTGAATAACCTCGGACGAATCGCGCGGGTATCGCATGGTGATGATCTTTGGTATGATCATGTAGCAGACGCACCAGAAGCTGAACGTCGTCCTTCGGAAACTCATTCGGTAAGTAGACGGCCTGTATCTTATACAATTCATCTTTGGAGCTCTCGGGCGGCGGCGGCATGTAGACGCTGCTGGCCCCCAAGCCACTCTGTTCTGGCAAACTTAACAGCCAGTGGAAATTACCACGAAACATTTAAGGATGGAATGAGATAGATCAGTCGAAGAGGCCTCAACTGAGACATGCGAGACGTCTCATTTGATTACCTGCGACCTATAAGGCGATGTGAAACTCCTTTAAGAATCACGCTAGTGTCATGTTGAGTCGACATGCTGAGTCACAAACGTGGAACTCAAGCTGGATCTCGTCGTCACGACGGACGGCAGCCCGCGCAAAGTCGTGCCAGGACGCTATGACTCGTTCACTCTTTCCAATGGTAGGAGCTGCTTAACCTTTGGCATTTGAGCATGTGAACGTTGCATTTTTGGTGCGGTGAGTTGGTGCAGCTTGCGATGCGGCGGGTCGTGGTGTCGGGGCGTTGTTGACCCCACGTTTGTCCAGAACTCAGCACGTACTGGGGGGAACGCGGCACAGAGTTCCCAGACGCCATCTCTTCCTCTCAGTAGCATATAGAGCAGCTTGTGAGCTTTTCTGGGGGCGATGAAAGAACAATCAGGGTGGGAAATCAGTCTGGACGGCAAAACTTGGGGAGATGCAGCTTCGGTGTCACTTCCGGCCCGACCCACTTTCACATGGCGTTCAGTGGCTGACCAGGAGACTTATGGATAAAAACTACATCTTAGAAATACTGCGGTGCTCTTGTGCTAGAAGGATGATTGGGTCAGGACGAGACGGAACCGAGTACGGCTTGCGCGAGGTGGCGCTGGAAGAACACGCTTGCCTGAGCAGAAGACTGGTCACGCCGACTTATGGGGCAGACGCCAATCTCACTATGAGTGCAGTGCACGCCGCGAACATGCGCATGCAACGCACTAAGGAAGAATCCAAGAAATGGGAACGCCAGAGGCCTGCTGTAATACATACTACGGATGTCTCTTCGAAGTTCTCGACCAACGCAGAAGAGGTCGTGCGCAGGTTCCGACATACAGTTTGTATGGACAGCATCAACTTCCACATCGGCGATGTCAACCATTGAGTTGATGGTTAGTTAAATGGCCTCGCGTGATAGCAAGCCATTTGCCTCTCATGTCTTCCTCGAACTTCCGACTTCACAGGACTACCTCGGAGCTGTGACCCATGCGCTGAGAATCGATGGAAGTCTCGTCGCCTTCAGTCGCTCCACAACTCAGATCGCTGCTTGTATGACACTTATGAAAGACAAATGCAATCACTTGAACCTTGCTCGGGTCATTAAACTTGGCGTCAATAGAGGAAGTGGTGGACGCGAAGGGGACTTGAGATTCGTGAGACCACGCAACCAGACTCGCGCTGCATCCTCTGAGTCCTGGCTCGGTCGATCGAATTCACAATTTTCCTAGCGGATATACGTACAAGAAGGAGAACCCTACGCCAAATGTTTGCCTCTCCAGCAACAACGACCTCAAATAGCTCAACTGTCCTATTGGGAGTCTGATTAAGATCTTATGCCGGAGCGCGTTTGTATCTCCTTCAGTCGATTTGTCTGATAGCAGACAGCCAAGGCAGCGTATCGCCAAATGACTTGCATGAATCTACTGCCCCTTCCTGCTTCTCGCTTCTGCACCCATGATCCGACACGCCGCGATTCTACACAAGGCCGGACAGACAGGATAGCACGCCCCGCCCCATCAATCAGCCAAGACACGTGGTGTTGCACCGAGGCGGCTGCTAGCTTTAGCTATAGACCTCCTACATCTCGCTAGATACTATGTGTCGCGCGTCGATCAACCATTAGAAGCAGAAGCTCCAGTCCAGCTCACCCTGAAGGTTGTTCGCTGAGGCAAACTCGGATCTGGTCGAGCCTGTCAGGCGGCTTTCGCCTTCGCGATGGCCGTGACGACTATACATAGGCTTCTGGTTGTCTCGCCCGTATGTCTGTAATTTCCAGCGTCAAATCCGCAAAACTTTTCCATCCCCCCGGAGCTCAATTAGTGACCCGTTTTCATCATACCCCCTGCGAATCATGCTTGACTGAAAAGAGCAAAGCCCACGTAGGTCATTCCAAGTTTTTCTTGTTTACAAGCATGGAGAACCTCAGCCTGCGGCCACGCTGTCCCAGAACCACACCCTACTGGAAATTATATACAAGCCCGCCATTCCGTCCGACTAAGTAGCGTGGTTCTATCTAGGGCAGAACGAGCTTCGAATATACACAAGATACCACATGAGCGGCCACCGCACTCATCACAGTTGCACTTGCCTGAAACCTAGTGTTCTTGTTCAGCAAGTGTAAGCTGACGCTTGAGAAAAGACGAATCCATCCCAATCCAACTCAAGTTCTAACCCCCTTCACGATAGACTCCGTCGAAGGAAAGGTTGTTGTCTCTAAGACCGTTTCCCGACTTTGAGGACGACGCGCCCGAGTGCGATGGCGCCAGCTTCATCGGGCTTTGGTGCAGGAAGTCCATGGCCACGAGACCAAGTGGAGGACCATGAACTGGCAGAGAGCTGCTTGGCTTCTCGCTGGTGATCAAGTCTGTCTTGCCATCATGGCGCAATCATGGTCCCTCTCGGTTCTTGGGTGGGTGCCAGGCATTATCACGATGGTCGTTCTGCGTTCTGTTCTAGATCACCTCGATGTGAGTGTCGATCGCGAGTTTCAATTGAATCTTGATAATGAACATCATGGCTTACATTTGTCTCCTGGATCATGTACAAACTCATCATGAAATGCCCAAAGATCAAGGACTTACGCCACTTTGGTTATTATGCGTTCGGCAAGAGTCGCATCGGATACAAACGTTCATGCCTCAAAATCCTCCTGATTGGCTTTCATATCTTCGCCAGCGTGAAGATTCTGAACACTCTGTCTGATTGTTCCATTTACACTGTTGCCTTCTCCGCCATCGCCATGATCATGGACATTGCCTTGTCACTTCCCAAGGCCTTGAAGCACGTCTCGTTCATGTCCATGTTCTCAGCGTTCTTCATGTCTCTGGCCATTCTGCTCTCCATGATCTTCGCCGGGATGGAGGATGCTGCCTACATGTACCACGGATAAATGGCAACTACCCGGAAGGTAGCTCCGTCGAGACGTACGCATTTCCACCCACCGGCACCACTTTCGTTGTCACTACGAACACGGCCCTGAACATCATGTTCCTCGTTCCTTTTGGTGCCGCAAATTCTGTTCCCGAGCTTCATCGCTGAGATGGAGCAGCCCTAGAAGTTCCCCAAGGCCCTCGCTATCCTCAGCGCCATCTCTAACCTCCTTTTCATCATCCCGCACGCCATCGGCTTCCGCTACCTCGGCCAGCACTCAACCGCTCCGGCATCCCCCAGTTTGAGTGACACGCCCTACAATAAGAGCTCCTTCGGCTTCGTCGTCGTCCCCACCCTGATTATTGGCGGCATCTACGCCAACGTGAGCGCCAAGTTCATCTACCACCGCATCATCGGAAAGTCGCCCACGCCAACAGCAACACCATCAGATAGGGCGCGAGGGCTGCCGTTTTGGCGATGATCCAAATCACCGCCTTCGTCTTCTCTGAGATCATCCCGAGCATGCGTGATTTCCTGTCTTTGCTGGGTGCCGCGTTCGATTTTTTCTTTTGTTTCATCTTCTTCGCGGTCGCTCATTAGCAGCTGTCCCAGGGTATTTCTTGATGAGAGTCTTCGTGTCCATCATGACTGTCACCCACGTCTTCATCATGGCTTGTGGTCTATTCTTGCTTGGCCGGGTTTGTATATTGCTATTGAGGCAATCGATTTGGATTAGTCGGGCACGACCCGCCTGACATTTGCTTGTGCTGATCTGTCGATTTAGATTATCCACCAGTTAGATATATCTCAAAGGCTGGTCATTACGATAAGTCTGAGGACCAGAACGGTCGTCTACCCCTTTAGTATTCAATTTGGATTTTTGGCGCCTTGTGTGAAGACCTTTGTCAACCCATGACAGTGAGGCGCCCAAGTTTATGAAGTATATATTCATCCTGATAGCTACTTTGTACAGACCCGCGTCCATCCAACACCCAATGCAGCCAACGGCGATATCAAGTGCGTAATACCCAAAGCTCCTTGGACATCTTGCCGATCACACGCCCAACCGACAGCGAACATCAGACTAATGGATCCAAATATGGCGTTCAACAGTATCTAACCCTGCGCCGCGAGAAAGCTTTCTACGAGACTCGTCCCCCCCCCCCTAACTCCGCCATTCAGTCGCCTTAGTTTCTTCAGCGCCCTCAGCTATATGATCAACCCATTATCGTAGTCCTTAGGGTGCTGGAAGAGGCGCAGCAAGTACGGGCTCACGACCAGCAGCATCAGTTACCCGGCTGGAAGAAATAGTCGGATCCACCGCGGGGCGACAAGTCAGGACCCTTTCAGGCGTCAGCAAAGCGATTGTGATAGCATTCAAACTCAACAAACTCAATGTTCGTCAGGCTGCTGAGCTTGAGCTTGCGCCACCAGCTGCAGTTAATATGGAATTAATGCTGCTGCAGCGCTGTGGCCAGACCTTTTTCCGATTTGATATTGTGTGAGGATATGTCCAACTTGAATGTGCGACTTTGGGCGTAAGACGCTATTTGTTCGCGCACGTCAGGAGCTATAGTGGTTCGCGAGGTTGGTTCTAACGACGGTGTGTATGTTGGAATACTGCTTATTACTTGCTGATGCTTATTGTTAAAGACTGTGAGCGAGCCTGATAAGAACGGATTGTAGCACAACCACGAAGTTTGAGAGGAGTTCGGCATACCCATCGGGTTATTGAAACTTCCATGACCGCCAGGGCTGTTTGGAGTTGTCGGTAAACCCCCGCTGGTGCGAGCTTGGGGTTGGGTGAAGTAGGTTTCTAGTTCCTTGTAGCGCCCGCACGATCCGAACGAGCATTTCCACTGAAGTCGGACCGTTCCAACCACTACTGGCGGCTCTGGGCCGTTCTGTAGTTATTGCACCGATCTCACCGCAACACTTGTAACTGCTTGAAATACCAAGCCGCCGGCGATAACCAATGCAATCCTTGGTTCACGCGGAGGACTCCACGTATTCCACAAAGCGTCGTTTAGTGTGGTTCCCTTGGCACCCGCTCATACCACTGCCTTCAGGCCCGGCTAGATATATATTCAGTCACGATGAAGAGACTGCTGCAGGTGATGTGACATGAGTTGACGCGGAGTCCGTACTTATGTAATTAGACGTGTGACCAGATAACCTCCTCAGAGCGTGCGTGGGTTTGATTTCATTGAGGACCTCAAGTAGTCTATTCGCAGCGCAGCAGGACTTACACATCAATTGTCTGCCCCGCGGCTCTGCATTTTGACCGGAGTAAACACACTGCCGTTGTCGAATTAGAGCTTATCGGGTTTGGCAAGATCGGCACAAAAGGCGGGAACCAAGGGGTGTGGCTAACCCAAAGTCTGTTGAACCACCACCTTGTTTTCGTGCCGAGAATTTGTTGCATCTTTGGGGCAATGTTTGTGTGCTTCAGCTCGACTCGTGGAATGAGCCCATTTGACCTTGAATGTCAGTGAACGCTGCGATCCCGGCAGTTTTAACTGGGCTCACAGCAACGCAATCCATAGTGTTTCCAGTCCTTTGCTGGGCAGGGTCTTTTTTGGACGGGCGTGCCGCCTCATAAGCCTGATGTCCTCAGACTCTCCTTGTAGGTCATGTTGCAGCGCGGTTATTGAGATGAGGCTGATTCTTTGGTTCTTTCAATCTGCTAGGCCTGACCTGTTATTGACTTGGGCTTGGAGATTTGACGTCTGTGGCGGTCTCATATTGGACAGCATCTACTACCAACCGATATCTGAACGGGTTTTCGCCTTCGCGGTCGCGATCTTCATCTTCTTGACACGCCGAGCTGATAGCACCCATGCCTGTCAGCTCGTCGAGACAATGCGCTGCTTGATTTGGGTTGGGTTGGACCCCTCGGACGTTGCGGTAGGATTGTCATTGGATATGTTTTGCTTGGCCTTTGGTTCTAACGTGCTTACTTTTGGGAAGCCTTCGTCTGTTGTTGACTCATACATACCCTGCATGGGCTCATTAGAAGGTTCTTCCGGAAGGCTATCAATAGAATGCATTCGTTTGCTGTGGTTCACTTCTCTAGGGTCTTCCAGCAGATCAGGAACTACACGCAGGCGGCATTGTAGTGGGTTGCACACTGGAAGTATCTTCGTCGTCGCCTGTGTTGTCGTGGATGTGGCTGTGACTTCCACATGCGTCTGCTTGAGTTGGTAGTTCATACACTATTGAGTTATCTGGCACCTCAGGAAGCTGGAACAAACGATCAGAGAGCATTTCAGGAGTCAGTAGGCATGCCCATGTTGCTGATTAGGCGGAAATCAGTAACTTCATTATGCTCTGTGTCGACTTTACGCCGTAGTCTGATGTCAAATCCTTCTTTGGTTTATCGCGTCCAGACTTTAATCTCGGCCGCCAGCGTGCCCCTTTCATTTTCTGTAGAGCTATACCGGCGTCGTATCTCCTTCGGAGGTTTTGAAAATATGAGATCAAGGCCCATCCATTGCTTGTTCTCGGGCGTTTGGACAATCGGGCTAAAGTGCTATATCTTGCTCAGCCCACCGATCGGAACTGCAAGTGACGGAGAGATTACGGTTGCCGCATCCCTACGAGTGCTGTATAGCCGGATGACTGCGAATTAAACCTGGCCACAAGCGCATCTGGCAAAAAAGCATACGTCACCTCGCCCTGTAGAAACTACTCCGGCCCTATCTGGGGCCACAGGACGTCACTGTCTTTGGCGGATGGACCCGCTGACACTCACATGTCAAATGCTAGAGGACCAATGGGCGACGGTGCAAGCTCCTGACCCTTATGCTGCTGTGAAGGAGATTGGAAGTCAGACACTGAAATGCGACGATGGGCGAGACGGCCTCGGGCCGTCATCGGACGTGACTTTGAAGCTGCCCAACGCGTTGACACCCATCGGCACCCTCTCATGTTCCATTTCCTTGGGGTACCAGTCAAGAGTGACGAAGCGGCATGCTCACTGTGCGCACATTGACGCCATGGACGGTTCGCGGCAATCTAGGTCAGAGGTAAATGGCCACCGTACGGTCCTCACTCCCTCACGAAGAATAGACGGCACAAGAGCCTCAGGAGAATCGGCCGGAAACTGTGTCCCTAGCCAATGTCGGAGAAATCAACTCCCGCGTCAGACTACTGAGACTGAATGCCGTTGACCCGAATCATACGATACGAGTAGGTGCAGCAACCAATAACCATTGACTCGCCATGGACTGACCCATAGTATAACTGGAATTCTCACCAGGTCAATAGCTCAACACTCTCATTCCAAGTCTGCAGCAGGCAAGGGGTGTCGCAATTACAATACACCGAGTGAGGCACAGCCATAAAGTCATTAGGACCCCTACCCCAAGTTGGCCGTTCAGAGAAGCACAAGTCCGCCCGCCCAATACCCCTGGCGACCAAGCGACGATCGGAGATTCTGGGGACATAGCTTGTCTTAGGAGTTCATCTGATATCTATCTTCTCCTATTTGATCCGAAGCTCGGCGTGGTCTCAGGAAATCCATTTCTTGTACGCCACAGAGGCAGACACCAGCCTGGATCCGCATGATATTCTACTCCTCCCTCGCCTGACAGACCTTGTCGCCACGGAAAAGATCTGAAAGTCGTACTTTGGTTTTTCCTCACTGAAACCGGAAATGGAGGGATTATAGGCATGATAAATTCCCCAACTGCATCTTTAGACGAAAATTGACCCATGTCGATCTCGTCGATGCGCTAGATGGCTAAGTAGACTGTGTTTGGAAAAGAACATGATCAGAGTAACACTGCGTCCTACGTCTGCAGTTCTTCCCGGATGACTGACTACATAATGGCATTTCTCCGGTAACAAGACGAGCTGGATGAGAGTCGAGTGTCAGGCGAGAAACTAGGGTGACATCTCGACGCGATGCCCATGACAGGGCTGCCAGCTATTCAGCAAAGCCTCCTTAAGAGCGATATCAGTCATATCATCCTCAACACGTCTCGAAGATCCTCGGGAATCACCACTCGTGCACCAGGTTGGTCTTATAGGTGAGCGGAAGGCTGCTGGCGCAGATGCTCATGGAAGAATAGGTTCATATCGACGGGGTGGAAGCGACCGTGCAGATGCCCACTGATGAGATTCACAATATCGGAGCGTGCTACCATAGCTTCCTTTCCATCTCTCGCGTAAATCTACCATGCATCGCTGGTTTCCGGGATGATGCGAGCATTTTGCAGCCACTCCAACTCTCGGTTGACCTCGCGCTGCTGCAGGTAGCGGGTGACATTCCGAGCCTCCGCCTGAGCTCCCCAAGGGGCGTTTGCGTGGTGTCGAGCAATTTCAAAAGTCGCCATGGCCATGCTCGACGCGAGATCTATGATCCTGTTCGCACACCTCTTCGATCCGGTCCGGAGGACCAACGATGGTCAGCATTTCGGAATCGTCGTGATCGGGTGGGAGGATTACTGAGCACCCTGTCTCTTCTTTGTAAGAAGTCATGAAGCGAAGAGCCCATTTCGCTCACGATGAAATGATGTCAGCGACGCTTAATGGCCGTTTGTTCCAGAGTAAGCTGTCTTACCAGCTCTCGTACTTGTCGCTCAAGCTCTGCTATGGCGTCATTAATCGCTTGTTGGTCGCCTGAAAGTCGAATCGGCAGGTTCTCCCGTGCAGTGAATAGTACGGGTTGTCTGTCGCCCATGGCCTGCGGGGGAGCGAGTTGATTCCAATGATGGTGGTGCGAAACTTGCATCTTAATATGGGAATTGTGAGCCCAGACAATCATGGATAATATTCCGCAGGGATGTTCATAGTGCGGGTGGTTAGAGATGAGGTGTGTTTGTTGACAACCTTCTCGGTGTCCTGCTTGCCCATCTGCACTGGAAACGATCGCCTTGAATAGTCAAGTCGATGGCTGTATTCACATTGTCGTTCAAGTTTTCAGACACCTCATTGATAGGCACATTGATTTTTTGTTGCCGGTTTTCTTTTTGAGATGGCCGGTATGGTCGCGACATGCTTTTCGACGATTCCGTCTCGCACAGCGCTTGGGACGGAGACTTTGACCGATTGCTAACGTGATGATGAGCACGAGTGGCCTCTCACTTCAAGATTACAGAAGACCTGCTTTGAACAGAGCTGGATAATGGTCTCTGAGCGCCACGCGGAGAGCATCCACCGGGCCAGGGTCTTCGAAGATGACGACGCTTAATCTCCACATTGGCTTTGGAACGCCCATTGACGTCGCAGAGAGTCTCCAGTACAGGATTTCTCGATTAAGCCTTTGGGGCCATCATAGACGGCGCGAGGGAGAGTTGTTGGGTGCACCAAGATCGGAATATCATGCGGCCGTCCGTGGATGAGCTGGAGGTGGTGATGGTGAGACGCAAGGTGAGGAAGAGATTTAGAGCAAGAGAGTATTCGAGGCAGGCGATTCCTTTTTTTTTTTATTTTTCAAATTTTTTTTTTTTTCAGGCACAATGAATAGATCAACACACGACGAAACCGAAGCGCACAAATAATCGATGGCCGTCGCCGTCGTCTCCACGGCAGAATCAGCGAGACACACGAGACTCAACCACAGTAGTGGCTGCAGTCACTGTGGCCTGTGCACCGCCGCCGGAGTTTGCTCCGCTGCAGTGGACAAAAAGGTACCTCAGTCACCACAGCGGTGGGCAATGGGCAGTAGGCAATGCCCAGCTGAGTCATCAATGCCCTGACCCAGGTTTCTGCCCATTGCCCATTGCCCGTCGCCCATCCCCTGTTACCGGGCTGTTTCTCAACACCCGGCTTTTTTTTTTTTTTTTTTCCCCTGCTACGATGAGACAAGCGAGGATATGACGCAACTTGAGACTGCAGACTTGATAAGTCGAGCAATGCATTTTGGGGAACTCTGACCTCCCCCGTTGTTCGGGATGAACATCAACAGATGGACATGGAGGAGGAGGGAGGTCTGGCGTGGTGTGTTGGCGGCACTGACTACCCACCACTGACCACTGGCCGGGATCTATAAAATGCACGCTGTCAGCTATCCACTGGATTGGCATCTGACGCACAGCGTCGAGTCAACGGGATTCAATTGAATGCGGTGGATGTTGAAGTGGACCAGGGCGTTTCCAGAGGTGGCTCTGATGAAAGTGGCTGACTTGTGGCACATCTGTGGCTGGGGCAGCTCATCGGCGACCTCTGGCACGTATCGACATGGCCCAAGCTTCTAGTGCTGGTTCCTTCGACCAACCAAATCAACGCAGGTACTTTGGCACCATCAATTGCGACACAACTAAAAAGTCAACCGGCGAGGCAATTAAAGAACAGCGGAATCGTTTGGGTTCTGGTGCAGGGCGTGGAGTGGATGCAGGAGTCGGGGATCTTTTCGCAGTGGTGAGTGTCGCCAGTCCGCGTGGGGCACCGTGCAGGTACGGATACGTACTTGGGGCGATCGGGGCTAAATCGCCCCTGAGGAGGGGTGATCCATGCACATCAACCCAGAGTCGTGGTGTCCCTTGGGGTGATCCGTGCCAATCCCCCAAGATCATAATTATGTCAGCAGTTCCTAGGCGCATTGGAAGCTCCGAGTGCCGCGTGCCTGCTCCCAAGGACGCGATGACGTTCGAAC